AGCACTGGGTATTATGCACAAACAATGAATCATGGAACACTTCATCTAGAACTAATGATGTAATGTATGGGGATTAACATAAGAATAAAAAATAAATAAATAAAATAAAAATTACTTTGCAGGGGCGCTTGGGTGGCTCGTTAAGCGTCTGCCATTGGCTTAGGTCATGATCCCAGGGTTCTGGGATCGAGCCCCGCATCGGGCTCCCTGTTCGGCGGGAAGCCTGCTTCTCCCTTTCCCACTTCCCCTGCTTGTATTCCCTCTCTCGCTGTGTCTCTGTCAAATAAATAAAATCTTAAAAAAAAAAAAAGAAATTACTTTGCAGTAACACATCTTAAGTGTGTTCAGAGAGGTGTGATGGGTTTTTTTTTCTTCTTCTTTGGTGTGTTTGTTTTGCTAATACGTCTTGATGCATCTCCTTCACTTTGAGGTGTGTATATGTATTCAGCTATCAGTCATTCTTTGCACTCAACCAATCTCACTCAATCAAAAGTTGCATTATCAATAAACATAGAGTTCTTGAGACCTCATCATTGGTCATTCTCTAGGGCTTATATTGGTACTAATGGAAGGAAGCATACTCTTCATCCTGTTTATTTTTCTTTATGAGACTTGTCATTAGGGGCGCCTGGGTGGCTCAGTCGTTAAGCGTCTGCCTTTGGCTCAGGTCATGATCCCAGGATCTGCCTGCCGCTCCCCCTCCCTGTGCTTGCTCTTTCTCTGACAAATAAATAAATAAAATCTTAAAAAAAAAAAAAGACTTGTCATTATACTCATCTGTATGTGACATATTTGTTTACTGTTTGTCTCTCCCACAGGGATGGCAGTTCTATTAGAATAAGGACTTTCTTTTCTTCACTGCTATGTATCAACTGTCTAAAATGGTGCCAAGCGCATAGTAGTCATTTAGTATTTGAATGAATAAATTCAATTCAAAATCTGAACATTTGAATGAATGAACGGTATGCAAGTCTCACATATAAGTAAATATTAAGCAGTTAAGGATTTGGATAGGACCTTAAAGTAGTCTGGTCTCCATAATTGTTTTGGAGTCATGATACCCAGCATTGCCTTCTGATTTCCTTGCTGCCTGCCTTATTTCTCAGGTTCTTTGTTTTTCTTAATCTGCTATCATTGCATAATTTTTTCTCCGTTCGTAAGTATCTACTGGTAGTTTTCATGAGTTGTGGAATCGCTTATGTGTTTCTAGAGAACTGTGATATGATTGTGACATTGATTGTGTGTTTTACTCTTCAGCAAAAATGGACTCCTGTGGCTGACTTCACTCACCATGCCCATACTGCCTCCTTGTCGGCGGTGGCTGTAAATAGTCGTTTTGTAGTCACTGGGAGCAAAGATGAAACAATTCACATATATGACATGAAAAAGAAGATAGACCATGGGGCTCTAGTGCATCACAATGGTGAGAAAATTATATCCTTTAAGATAATGTTGAGGTATCATTACTTTACAATTTGACTTCAGTTGAATAATTCATTAGGTGTCTATTATGTAGCAGGTTCTGTGCTAGGGAATACAGAAATGAGAAAAGTGTGATTTTTTTTTTATCCTTAAGTTCTTCATAGTCCATATTGGCAGACAGAAGGGAGGCACTTCACTCACTCTGGGGGCAGTGGGAGGAAGCGACTTTTCACTGAAAACTTCCCCAAAATGACATCTGACTGAATTGTCTTGGAAGTACCAGTTGTTAGCTAGGCAGGAGAAAGGGCATTCCAGGCAGAGCAGGAAGCATGAGGAGCACAGGAACAGCCTCATGTTGATAGCTAACTTTATTGAGGGAGTACCACGTGCCCAGCAGTGTGCCAAGAAACTACACTTGTACCTTCAGTTCATAGAAGAGAAAACCGAGATTCAATGATGTTAACTTGACTTACCCACGGTTACAAAACAATGGAACTAGACTCAAACCTAGGTCTAGAGCCCATGTTTTTAACCACTATGTGCATAGGGAACTGTAAGCAAGTCGGTATTATGAGAAGGTTAAAACGGAGATTGGGGTGACTGGAGAAGTAGATGGGCCGGGTCCTGGGTGGTCCTTGAGAAGAAGAGGTTAGGGATTGAATGGGAGGGAGGGGGCTGTGCGGGCTTGAGGAAAGTGCTGGCATCCGGGATATGAGAGATGCTGACCAAGAACAAGCAAAAGACTGATGAGAGTCTGCCTGATTGAAGTTGGAGGCTCTGGATCGAGTAACATCCGTTTGCAGTAAGCTACCGGCATTTTTATGGGGAGCAGAAAGCTAGTTGGTGTGTGCAATAGGTGGATTGATATACAAAGGAATTCAGGATTTTGGTGAAAGAAGAGCTTGTTGGTCTAGAGAAAATGGGGTGTGAAGAGTCTACAGATCTCTGAAATAAAAGAGCAGATGGACTGTGAATGAAGGGGGGCATGAATGGGCTGGTGAGTGGTGAGGTTGTGGGCAGGGGTGAGGCTCTTAAGAGTTCAAGAGTTGTAATGTGGAGCAGCTCTAGGTGGTAACTGTGTCTGGGGTGTAGGTGTGAGGGACTAAACCAGAGAGGAGGCAAAGGCCACTTGAGTTGAGGAGGTCGGGACTGGTGATTCTCAAGTCATGCCTGGGTTTTCCACAGTGATAGTGAAGTTTTCCAGGATAGTGGTCGGA